CATATTATTGCACTATGGATATTACGGCATCCTGAGTTCGATTCCTGCCAAGAGCTATTTTTTTCTCATCATTATATTAACATGCGTCTATAGTAAAACTATTTGTAGGCATATATTATTATGTTGGGAAACCTCTGTCTTTTTTCCTCATCCTGAATATGAGGTGCAGCGCTGTTGATTACAGTACAATTTTAGAGAGTTAGAACAAGAACAATTGATTTGAGATTATAAATATGCTTCTGGTTTTCTGTCACTTTTAAAACTGTTACGTGTACAACATTTGTAACATATGTTGCTACACATCACAATTTCACATCTCCATATTATATTCCAGCAGGATGGAAGCAAATGGGTGGGCACAAAGTTGGAGTGAGTGTTGTTTTTTTATGTATTTCTTTTTATATTTAATTATAATAAATATTAAGTTGTAAACAACATGTAATTAAACCTCTAAAAACTAATTAAACAAAGCGTGTCTCAGTTGGACATGTAAGGGGCTTTCCATGATTGAAAGCAAAAGCAAGGGAAAGTACTAGAAATCTATAAGCATGGATCCATGCAGAACAGATGTAAATGGAAATTAAAATGTTACAATGTGTGAAAGCCTACACATACCAGAAGGTCCATACTAAGCAATAGAAAAGTGCTGTAGGTGGGTCAATGACAACTGTCAAAACCAATGAATATAAATATAAATATGTGCCCAGGGCTACATGTTTGAGAACCGCGAAATATGTGCCCTGGGCTACGTACGTATGGCTGCATTTTGTGTATAAAACAAAGCTTTGGGGTTGTGTGACAGCATCGACAACTTCTGTTCCTTTTTGCACTATACCTCTGACCACTCACCTCTATATGCACTCACCTGAACATTATAGTCAACATTATAGAATTGTAAAAAAAAAAAAAAAAAAAAAGGAAAAGAAAAAGGCAATATTCCATTAAGACAATAAGGATGAGGTAAAAATAAATAAATAAATAAGGATAAGGTTAAAAAATCTTTAAATTACATCAATAAAACTTTCTTTGATATTTGTATCTGTTGGTCATAACCATGATTGATAGGATCCTCACATTATGAACACCAGTTACACTAATTGTTTTATTTTTTTCTCCATTTCCACCTGGGGATACTCATCCCGAGGCCCTCAGACTATGTGGAGTCACTGATTGGATCCAAGACCAGCGACGAGATGATCCCAAGGTTTCCATATCCTTGACCAGGCCGTATCCTGAGCAGCTGCTGTAGTGGTCATGGAGGAGTAGAGAACATGAGACTGATTCCAGTGACCCTCCAGGAACAGACGAGTCTTCGCTGAGGCCAGCTTTCATCATCCGCTGCTGAGACTGCAGCTCCGCACAAGATGTTTCGCCAGCGGAGAAATTAAAATGGTCTTGCCCAACTGAGTCTGGTTTCTCTCAAGGTTTTTTTTTCTTCACTCGCCTATCAGTGAAGTTTTTTTCCCTCTCTGCTGTCGCCTCTAGCTTGCATGGTTTGGGATCGGTAGAGCTACCCATCGATGAATTTGCTCTTCAGTGTTTGGACTCTCAGTAATGATTTTAAATCGCACTGAACTGAGCTAAACTGAACTGAACTTAAACACTAAAAACTGAACTACCCTGATCCAGTTACTATGACCATTTATGCGAAGCTGCTTTGACACAATCTACATTGTAAAAGCGCTATACAAATAAAGCTGAATTGAGTTGAATACAACCCAGGTATGCAGAAGAGCATCTCTGAGCGCACAAAACGTCGAACCTTGAGGCGGAAGAGTTACAGCAGCAAAAGATCACACAGGGTGTCACTCCTGTCAGCTAAGAACAGGAAACTGAGGCTACTATTTGCAGAGGCTCACCAAAACTGGAAAATGAAAGATTGGAAAAACGTTGCCGAGTCTAATGAGTCTGACTTTCTGCTGCGGCTTTCGAGTGGTAGGGTCAGAATTTGGCATCAACAACATGAAAGCATGGATCTATCCTGCCTTGTATTAACGGTTAAGGCTGCTGCTGGTGGTGTAATGGTGTGGGGGATATTTTCTTGGCACACTTTGGGCCCATTAGTACCAATTGAGCATCATGCCAATGCCACAGCCTACCTGAGTATTGTTGCTGACCATGTCCACCCTTTTAGACAACAGTGTACACATTTTCTGATGGCTACTTTTAGCAGGATAACGCGCCATGTCATTAAGCGTCAATCATCTCAAACTGGATTCTTGAACACGACAATGAGTCCACTGTACTCAAATGGCCTCCACAGTCACCAGATCTCAATTCAACAAAAGCATCTTTGGGATGTGGTGGAATGAGAAATTCCCATGATGGATATGCAGCGGACAAATCTGCAGCAACTGTGTAATGCTATCATGTCAATATGGACCAAAATCTCTGAGGAATATTTGTAGTACCTTGTTGAATATATGCCACGAAGGATTACGGCAATTCTGAAGGCAAAAGGGGGTCCAACCCGGCACTAGTAAGGTGTACCTAATAAAGTGTCCGGTGAGTGTATATTATAGTATTTACAACTCTTTGTTAATGATTGCTACAGCATACTGTAATATTATTTTCAAAAACAACTTTTCAAAAAAGCAGTAGAAGCAAGATCCATAACACTACATCAGACTAAATGTTGAAACAAATAAAAAACAATATTTCAAAGAATTACAGCTTAACTTATCAACATAATGAGGGATTCATTTAAGATTAAACTTGCAACTCTATGTCTGCATTTTTTACATTTGAAACAAAAAAGTTGCTGTTTTCTCTTTTTTCTACTTGCAACATTACATGTAGCAAATGAATGAGCTCATAATAAACAGGTTGCGAGTAAATCACACTAATATATATTTTACTTTTGCATGAACAATCCCTTTAAGAAATTATAAACGACTTTAAGATGTTGCATTATTAAATGATTAGTTTGCCCTCAAAAAAATGTTATTAATTACTCACCATCACGACAATTACTCACCCCACAGTTTCAGCTGAGTAATTAATGACAATTTTAATTATTATTTATTCATTCATTCATTTTCTTGTCGACTTTGTTTCTTTATCAATTCGGGGTCGCCACAGCGGAATGAACTGCCAGCTTTTCCACCTAGTTTTTTATGTAGCGGATGCCCTTCCAGCTGCAACCCATCTATGGCAAACATCCACACACATTTAATTTAAATTATTAGGTGAACTAATTTAACTAATCTAATTTAATTAGACTTAAATATATGTTATTTTTAAATAATTATATTTCTGAAAGTCAGTCAAAACACGTACCTGAAAGTGCAGAAATAGAAGCAGCAAACCTCTGCCTGGGTGGATTTATGTTTATCTGCATTTAAACAAAAGAGGAAAAGAGAAAATATTACTGAATGCAATGAATTTTGTACATATTATGCATTAAAACTTATATTAGTACTTAAACAGTGCTTACTAGCTAATCTATATTCCAGGATGTCTCAGAGTCAGCAGTGTGACCTTGATGTCCACTGTTTTACAGAATTTAGCTGCAACACACACTACTGTAACTTACCTGCAGTTTCTGTAATCTTGGTGATCTTGATCAGCTGGTTCCGCTGCTGTACTTAATTGGGGCTGGATGGAGGTCAGTACTGAAAAAAAGGGAAAATATTACCAGAATGTTCATGATATAAACCTAAAATTATATCTTTAAAAAACTTATTAGGAAAGTGCAATCAAATTAGAGAATGCACAGGATGAAAACAGTAATGTGTTTGGAAAGCACTGAAAAATAAGAGTTTAACATTTATTTTCATAATTTCAATTAACTAGAACATAATTATCCCATTGCTTGTTTATGATTGTATATAAAATATGCAATTTGTACAGCATATATCAGTATGTCTATAGAGAGTCCTCATTAACCACATATTTAAGTTTGTGTGTGTAACTATACATACTGTAAAGGACAATGAGTCTTCTCTTTCAGCTCTGACAAAAGCCTTCCCCTACAAAAAGATGTTATAATAAAGTTAGTGAAAAGTTGATTAAATGTCAGTGCAGTTTACCGATCATAGGTAACGTTAAGATTCAAATTTTGATGAATATAGCTTAACGTTAGATAATGTTATTAGCCTATATTTAGATTGCTATTTAAAAAAATGCTAATTATAACGCGTCCATGAGTTCCTCAATAGTATAAAACTAACACCAACATGAACATTATTCAAGTTAATGGATTGTGGAGTTTTACAAGATATACTGTATGTTTAACATTATACTGCCTTAGATAACAGACTTGTGGAGTGGCTAGTCGACCTAGATCGTTATAACGATTTTGCTTTTCAAAAGAAAATGCTGGATAATCTGATTAATGATCTCAGAAACCTAATGATTGACTTTTGCTAACGAATCCACAATGATTTTGACAAAGTCCTGCAAAAATAACCGAAAACATAAACATTTATAAACTTACCTGCTTAGCAGCTGGTTGATGAAGCCCACAGTCGGAGGGAGATAAATTAGTGACGTCACATGCAGAGATCCACGTGCAGTTGACGATAAAACATTGCTGTCAATAATCTTTTCAATTTAATAAATCATTATAAACTTACTTTCTAAAGATCTGAAGTTCTTTAAATAACTGATTAAATAACTTATAATAACCTTTACATGTTTGTGTGTGTGAGATGTTGTTAAACCGACATTGAAAAAAAACTACAGGGAACGTTTTCTTTTGGTTATTTTTATTTTTAATGTGAATTATTTGTTTGCCTTTCCAATACAGTACAATATATCTTGTTCTCAGTTGTCAAAAATGCCTTTTCTGAGATGCTGATAATAGTGCTTAAATAGAAGATCATTATATACTTGTAGAATAAATCTGAACATTTTTATATTAGTCTAGTGTTGATTTGATAGGCTGAACTAATTAAATGTGGTATAGTGTCTGCAACAAAAATGCTTCACATAATTTTTCTAAATTAACTTAAAAACAAATTAAATATAATATTTTTCCAATAAATACAAACCATCTTAATCTGAAAAGTATGTAAACTAAACTGAGAGAAGGGATCAGCAGAGCAGACAAAGGCCGGGCAAAAGCCAGCAACTCTGGCTAGGGCCGGCGTAAATTTGAGGCCAATGCAGGGCTCTACAGACGGGCATAAATTTAGCCTAACTGTCAGGAAGCAGTATAAAACACATCCACTTACACACATGGAGTCCATTTAGAAAATGCAAAAGACACATAAGTTTATTTGACTCTCTTTATTAAATAACTCCCTCAGAGCTCACACCTCTATAGGACTTTTCACAGTGTGCTTAATGCCGGGTTATCATCATTCTATGCTTTTAACCCTTGACTAAAACATTGTTCACACCTGTAGTTTGAAAGTAACATCACATTTTATTCATAAAACCCTGCTTTAGAGCAGTGTTAGTACCAAATTTGCAGAGTTAACCCCGCACTGCGATGCTAAGTTTGGTCAATGTGAAATGGAGTAGTGTTTGTTGTTACTGCTGCATGCTTGGCAAAATCAGAAACTCAGCAGCAAGGTTCATGTCACGCAAATAAATGTGCATCATGTAAACAGCAGTCAGTCATTAAAAAAAATAATAAAAGATGGAAAGCATGTAAACTGGAGAGATCAGGAGAAGGTAAGATGACAAACTTTGCTCCTAGTCCAAATGTACATCTTGTTGTACATTTTGTGCATCTTGTGAGGCTTAAAACAGTTAAAGACCTATGCTGAAACACTTTTCATAACTGACAAGATGCAGAAATCAACAGGTGATGCTGCAAATAAGCGTGTAAGAACGTTAACCTGTGGTTTATGAATTGACAGTGTGAAATGCATGTTAAAGGTCTTGTGGAATTAAAATAAAGTTTTTATATGTCAGTATGAGCATGTCAATTTTAAGTATATCTATTAGGTAGTGTACTCCAAAAAAAAAAAAAAAATAGACAAACTGCATTTAGAGGATATAAACATCCCAAGCTTGCATTCTGTCACTCAACTAAATAGACCAACATTTTTTGACATCAGCCCATACTTTAGTTTCTCATCAAATCTTCTCACCAAATCAAATGCTCTCTAGTATCTGACATGTCCCGCCCCCTTCGAGATGCTTTTCATTAAACTCAGCCTCTCTCTCATAGGCTGAGCTGTGATTAAATAAAAAAAGAAACTATTGGCTGTTTTTTTGGGGGCAGGAGCTGCCCCACCCTGTCAAAAAAAGGTACATTTCAAAGCACTTCACATGACTTTCAATCAATCCCCATGATTATTTGTTAACTCCAGGCATAGAATGAGCGGTGTGAGATTACAGATAACAGGATTCAGTTTATCCAGGTTTTAGGATGAGCCATGATTAAAAATTTTAAGTGTGAAAAGCTCTCATGTTGCACACCTATTTTCAAGAGTCCTTTAAAATTCTGTACACAGGTGAATGTAGTCAGTAGATCATACACTGGCAACATTCAACAACATTCTGCCTCTAATTTGAGAGAATTTGAGAGAATTATGATTATGGTCAATTATCATTATGGTCAAAATGATAATTATTATCTCTGGCTGGTAATTTGAATTGTCTAACAGGTGGAATCCTCTGTAAAGAAACGGAAATAACATCTTCCATAGGATGTCCACCATCATCCACAGGTTCAGGTATCAACCCCAATGACTACTATTTCACTGATGTTACCAAAGAACCATGTGGATGAAGTGCACCTTTGTCCACTATGGAGCGAGGTTGTCCCTGTGTATAGCGTTGTTTCTCAGATCGCCCCACAGATGTTGGTTGAATGGTTGTTTCATACACCAATTGCTGTAACCCTGGCTGTTCAGACTCATTGCTTCCCTCCAATTTCTCTGAAATAGATAGAGAAACACATGGTTTTAAAGATTTATAATTTATTACCCACTTTACTGGCTCTTTCCAGGGTGCACATTACAGGAGCATTTAATATTAATTATTAAAATAATAGGAAGTATAAATATACATTTGACCACCTCTATAACAATTCATACTATTCTGAATGCATGATCTTGAAATTAGATGTAGAAGATGCAAAAATCTACGGTTAGGAGATGGGGCCTAAATTCACAGTTCACTCACAGCAAATCCATTCATCCCCAAATATTAATCAAGTAATGATTACAGCACCAGGCCAGCAGTAATTCAAATTATAAATAATAAATACAAAATAGTAGTAGTAAATGGTAGCAAAAAAGGGGACAAATTGTCACACTGATGCATCTGTGACCAAGACAGCAGTCTTTGTGATGAGTCAAGAGCCATGGTATACAGGGTAGTATTAGCATTACCCACCAAGAAGGATGAACCACATCCAACAAAAGTAACTGTGTACGCAAGAGAAAGCGTTGTGCGGTGCTAACCCAGATTGTATCCAAAAAACATAAAACTACAGCTGCGCAACACATAGCAGATTTAAGTGTGCACATCAACTCTCGTTTACACCAATACTGTTCGACTGGAGCTCCACAACCTTCGGTTTCAAGTGTGCCAGCAGCAAAAATCTTGGGACAATGTGAAACGGATTGTTTACCTTGACTATTATTGACACATCTGGGAGAGTTACGGTGTGGAGAAGCCCCAAAAAAGCATAGCACACAGACTGTTGCAAGCACGGAGGCGGATCAGTGATACTGCAGTGATACTAGTTTGGACTGCCATATCATAACATTCCCTATGCCCAACACGTGTGCTCGATTGCCAAGAACACCCGAATCTTTGGGACCATGTACACCCAATGGTTCAAACATTATATCCTGAAGGTAGTGCAGCAACACTGGTGACAGAGTGATTTGATGAACATGAAAGTGAAGTTGAACATACCCCATGGCCTGCACAGTCACCAGATATGAATATTATTGAGCCACTTTGGGGTGTTTTGGAGCAATGTTTTCCTCCAACAGCATCACACAGTGAACTGGTCACTATTCTGCAACAAGAATGGCTCAAAATCCCTATGACCACTGAGCAGGACGTGTATCTGTCATTCCCAAGATAAATTGATCCTGTATAGACCTTTTACGCACTAACGCATTTTTGAACGGAAATACGTCAATGTAGTGCATTAGAACTTCCTGTTATCATAGCGGCAGATACGAAAAATGGCAAAGAATTACAGTTTCTGTTGTGTTCCAGGCTGTTCGTCTTCTAACCAAAAACAGCCCTACCTTTTATTTCATTCTTTTCCTGTGGATCCAAACCTGAAACCCAAATGGATACAGGCGATCTGAAGAGAGGAAGGGCACAGTTTTCATGTAAAAAAAGGAAGCACCTATGTCTGCAGCCGGCAATTCGCTCCGGATGATTACAGTGGTGGCTGCATCGTTCGTCGCCTGAAGAGTGGTGTTGTCCCGAGCCTATTCCCTTGGAACAACTTTACAGCTCCTTTGAGAAGGGAGTCAGTATATGACAGAACCTACAAACGTCAGTCTAAGTCAGTTTTTAGCTATGCTGTGAAGATAGGGACATGGTGGCTAAGGCAGTAAGGATGGATCACGACTATGTGACACACCCACCTGCATTGAGGTAAAGTTGGTTTTATATTTTCAACACATTCGTTCATTTAGAAGTCTCTATATTATTTACCATGTTACTTTGAATATTCGATCGAAATTAGCATGCAAATATGACTTGAAAACAACATTAACACTGGTTATTTGACTGTGAACAATGTTGTACTTTGATAATCATTGGCTGTTAATACGATTTCGCTGTTTAGAGTTTGCAAAGAATACTTTTCTGAAATTATATTGTTAAGGGGAAAGTCTGAATGTGCGAATATAAAACCAACTTTACCTCTATCCCACCTGCAGGTAAGATTGTTCAAAGAGTATTTAGTTAACGCTAGTCAACTATGTGTAGCGTTATGCATTTTCACCTGAACAAATTAATGTTAGTAATATAAGCCGTTCACGAAACTCAACTAATAAAATAAAAAAATACAAGAAATCTTAAAATATTTTTCAATAAAATACAATTATTAAGTGTTCATATAAAATGTTTTTTTTAATAATAAAACAATTTATTGCTGTGACATCTAGTAAATACACTAAGTTTTATCATACTAGCATGTGTGGAAGTATTTAAAACAAGTGTGTTACAACTGGCTCTGTGTTAGGTTCTGCCCTGCTCTCCCCTATTTTAATTGCATGTATTTAATTACTTATTTAATTAACTTCGGAAGACAACTCAGGCTCGCCGAAAACACTCTAGCTGACATTTCTCCGCCAAAAAAACTCATACCGGAACTGGGTTTACACGTTGTTGACATACTTCCGGTTTTTGCGTAAAAGGTCTATTGGTTGAAAAGGGATGCCCTACACCATAATAATGAAAAATTGTGGTCTAAAATTAGGTGTTTGAGTTTTATTGTCCAACACCTGCACATCTCATTCATTTACAGCAAGGAAAGCTTGAATTTCACAGTTCATGAAAACACGTACATTCACATTAAGAAATTTAAAAAGGCTTAAGAGTTATATTGTGAAATCATCTGCATTGTTCTCAATTTATACAGTAGCAAACAGACAAAACACCAAAAAAGCAATGTCCTGAGGCATTGGCCCTAGCATATCATGATCTCTAGACATCAACATTCAACAATATTATGTTAATAATACTGACATCTCTGAGACTAAATTAATACTTCTATACTTTACCTATCCCAGATATGTTTCCTGGTCCTTCTTTAAAAGCCTGCTGTAGTTTCTCTTTCACCTGTGAGACCATCTTTCGAAAATCACCAAAAGAGGGAGGAGAACCGATGCTGGATGAGTCTGTAGCTCCAGGAGGAACAGAGAGAGACTGGAAACTCTACACAGACACAAAATACAACAGGAATATCAGGAAAACAGATACCTAGCTCTTATTAAACACAGTGAGCTGTTTGTCAGATCTGTGTTACCTGGAGGAAATAGATGTGATGGTCTGTGCCTGAAAGCTGCTCCAGCTCAGTGTTTCTCCTCTTCAGATCATCAATCTCCTGCTCCAGTTGCTTCAGTCGTCCTTCAGCTCCACTTACTGCAGCCTTTTCCTGATCTCTGATCATTTGTGTTACCTCACAGCAGGTTCTCTCAATGAACTGGATGAGCTCATTAAACATCGACTCAGTGTCCTCCACTGCTGCCTGTACAGAGCGCTGTTAGGACACACAGAGAGAAGCAGCAGAATCAGTCATTCACTCAGCTCTTACTGCTGCCTCATAACCTGTTCCCCACAGGGGCTTCAGTGGGACTCAAAGTGCTCCAGCACTGGGCTCCTCACTGACTGACTGCAGGACAGTTCTAACTGAGTCTCAAACAGCTCTTCCAGCAGCCAGCAGCTGATCTTCTGCTCAAAACTCACCTTGTGAGTCTCTAGAGACACTCTCAGCTCCTCACACTCCTTCTGTCTCTCCTGGATTCTCTGCTGGAGTTTGCTCTGGCTCTCTTTCAAGTGTTTCTGTAAAACAGAGAAATTCTGATAAACCACAGTGATCAAATTCCTTTCTTAAAATGTTTTATACATTCATATCTCCAATGCAAAGGTGACAAAGAAGTGGTTATTTGTTCATTCTCATTCAGTGAAAATGCAATGTTGTCGTTTAAAAAAAAAAAGCTTATTAAAACAGAAATATGTTAGTACTTTGCTGTTTTTTACCTGTTTCTCTGCTCTCTCTTCAGCTGGTAACACAGTTTCATGGGTTTTGTGTTCATTCATCAAGCACAGCATGCAAATACAGCGCTGGTCAGTCCTGCAGTACATTTCTAGTAGTCTGTCATGTTGAGGGCAGATCATCTCCTGCAGTCGTCCAGTGGCATCAGTCACTTTGTGACGCTTTCCAGGGTGAATTTCCTCGTGTTGTTCAAAGTGAATCAGACAGTAAGATTCCAGACACACCAGACAAGATTTAACAGCTTTATATTTTCTCCCAGTACAAACATCACACTCCACATCTAAAGATTCAGAGTAACACTGAGCAGGACGAGCAGCTTGTAGTTTTCTCTTCCTGATATTCTCCACCACTTCAGCCAGCATGGTGTTTTTCCCTAAAGCAGGTCTTTGAGTGAAGGTCTGTCTGCACTGAGGGCAGCTGTAGACTCCCTTCTGCTCATCCTGATCCCAGTAGCCTGAAATACAGCTCATACAGTAACTGTGTCCACAGGGAATGGCCACTGGATCCTTCAGTAGATCCTGACAGACTGAACATCTGAATTGATCCTGAGCCAAATAAACACTGGGTTTTGCCATTCTACCGAACGAACACGAGCTCGACAACGTTTTCAAAAGCCAGAAAAAACAAAACAGAAAGCAGACAAGATAAAACCACAACGTAAAGCCCGCGCAAACGGAACAGGAAGATGAGTTTCACTTTCAATGAACAGAAAGAAAACAAGAGAAAAACAAGGACACTCTACCTGTAGCACTGCGCGGGCTAATATAAATCTGTTTACACTAAAACAGTGTATCCCGGTTAATTTTGTCCGACTTGCCACCTACGTAACGTCACCGTCACATGTGGCATTAAAGTACCGCGACAGCGCTCCGAGATCAGAAGGCGGACTCAGCATCTGAAGAGCGACTGCAGGAGCTGAGACGACACCGATATTAGACCATTGGCTGGACTCAGCTGTGTGTTTCGGGTTTTTTATTGGTCAACTTCAGTCTCAAAATGATAAAAACTAGCAATAAAAATTTTTATGCCATTTCCATCCTAATATTTTTTATTGCTGTAACCATATCGTTTTTGTTAAATAACTTGTTTATAAAGCTAGATTGTTGCATAGGTTTATTTTCAACCTTTTCATAAATCCCATTTACTGTATTCAGCTCCATAAACGATTTAAATTTAATTTGTTTAGTGAACAACCCAAATATTAACTCATAAGTCTTACAGCCCTGTAATATGGTAGTCATCATCACTGATCATGCCACCCCCATCAAGGTTTCTTAACAAATTAAGTTAAATAATTCTTTTTAAAAAAATAATAGATTAAAAATAATTATTATATGTATTACAGTTTTTTACAATGGCTATGACACTTTTTTCAATACATTTAACAAGTTTGCTAAACTCTTAACGCAACAACACACCTAAAATACACAATTGGCAAAACAGTTAATTTTATGCTCAAAATCACACATTATAAACTAAACCTTTAAACTTCTTTTCAAAATACAATAATAAACGAACACACTACACCATGTTTAACAAAACACTGCAATCATGTTTCAAAATGAAATTATTGTTCAAAACACAAACACATGTTCTCTTCCAACATAAACATTCAGTCAATCAGAACACACTGACAATAAAAACACTATCATCAGCTGACATTACAGAAACTCCATGAGTTTATGTATCAGCTCTGCCCTTATATTTGAAGTCTCGTTACAGTTTTGTTTTGTTGGGTTAAGTAAATGCATGCATTTTCTTTCGTTTACGGCAAAAATTCTATACAAAACGAAGAAAAAAAATTGCTTTATAAAATTTACAGTTTATGTAAAAAAAAAAAAATACAGACACAGAATTTCTGCAGTACAGACTTTTTTTGCAGAAGGACATCACTGCAAACAGAAAAAGCACCACAATTATAATAAAATAACAAAGTAATCTTCTATACTGCCCGTTGTTTTGCCATATGTTCTCATCCACATTATACTTGATATCTTCTGTGGCCCGGCACGGTAACTGTGGCCCTTTGGCCTATTATGTTTTTCCTACGGCGACATCCCCAGCCTTGTCAACATTGAAAATTTCATGTGGTACTTGATTGGCCTCTAACTTCATGACTCTCTAAAAGTAATTAGACTCAGTGTATGCAAATGCTGTACTGTATATGTACTGTATGTACTAATGAACTCCAGGTTTAAAGAGTAGTTTACTGCAAAACACTTTGTATAGTACAATGAATGTATTGCATAATCTTACATGGACGTATTGGTGACAGAGTTCTTTGATGTTCCTTTCAAAAACCTCAAGAGTCCTCTATCAGAACATATGATCATGTGATAGGAAAAACCAAAACAAGACATGAGTGTGCTTTCTAGATGGGAATCAGCTGTCATATATATATATATATATATATATATATATATATATATATATATATATATATATATATATTTTTTTTTTTTTTCCAGTTGCCAATGAGAAATAGCATATTGCGGTTATATAAATAAATAAAGAAATATATGGTCAAAAGTGAACAGCTGTTCTAATTGTGAATTGAAACACAAATATATTCCCTGTATTTTATTCAATTGCTAATGAGAAACATCATATTGCGGTTATATAAATAAATAAATAAATGTATATATATTTATATATATATATATATATATATATATATATAAAATAAATAAATGTTTATATATATATATATAAATAAAATGAATAAAATACAGGGAATATATTTGTGTTTCAATTCACAATTAGAACAGCTGTTCACTTTGACTTTATCCTATATAATTTCTGTTTAGAACATGGTGTTATCTGTTCTGACATACTGTGTTAAAGCATTTGAAAATTTGACTGTAAAATTACATTGTTTTGTTCCTGGTTGTGCTTGTGTATAAAAGAAGTTAAAGCATTTTAAATTTGTGTTAACTGGATGCATTTTGTGTCAAAACAACAAGAAATGTGTTAATTGTATAGCCAACGAAGACGGATGTTGTGCTAACTGTGTTAAGAGTTTAGGAAACTTGTTAAATGTATTGATAAAAGTGTCATAGCAATTGTAAAAAACTGTAATTAATTTGATCCTGTTAAGCCATTTATGCAGAAACGTAAAAGTGACATTTATATTACTGGCTCTTTTTGTAAAATTTCTATTAAAAGCGTAGCTCACTTATTTTGGAAATGTCCTTTTGTTCAGTCATTTTGGATCGATGTGAATGCTTTCATTATTCAAAATAATATATTAAATTTTTTCCCTGATTTCGCTTATTATACTTTAATTATAGGCTACTTAAATGTCATTATTAATTCCCTTTTGTTGAAAAAGAACTCTAGTTTTTAGAGACTATATTCAGTTTTTTGTACTGTAACTCTTTTGTTGTTATTGGAATAAATAAATAATTGATCACACAGCATGTGAATAGTCATCCTGACTGTAGTAAACTGTGAGCCTTGTACTGTCCGACCTGACGGCTCCCGAGCTAATAAATGCATTAAAATTGGTAAAGGAGGAAGCATGTGTCACGTTTTCCCACATGGTTTTGACCCGGATATGTGAATAGCCCCAAAAGGCTCTAACCTTGCCCAAACTTTAAGAATGCAACAAAAGCAAACATTGCCTTCAAAAACAACACAACTTGCAAACAAGTATGAGCTTTTTCAATTATTAAACAATGGACAACACACAAAATACAGCACAAATCAGTGCACCATTGCTTATCATTGTTGCCTATAGCCATTTGTTGTATTTCTATACAGGCCATCTCAAATTTGCCTTTTTGCCAAGAAGTGGATCCAGAATAAGAAATGCTTTGATGCAGTTTTATTGAATCAATAATTTTTGCTTTTTTAAACTGTGGCTGAAAAATGAACAAACACAGTAAAATATATTGGCATAAAAAACATAGCCACTCTTCACCTCCTCCACACATGCTGGCAAAGAACAATACTAACCTGTTACCCTTTTTAAGGCCTGCAGATAGATTGCTAATTGAAGATCTGTGTGAAAGAGCAAACAGGGGCTTCAGAGATTTCATACTGACCTTGGTAGTTGAATTTGAAAACTGTAAACTGTTTGGACAGAACTGTGTGTATGGATAGTGTGTCCACTCTCATATTGGAGTGAAATAAACACAACAAGTCTCTTCTTTTAAAATTTCCGTATGTTAAAATAGGACCCAGGCCGAGGAGAAGCAGCCCGTTTTCATTTAAAGCCACAGGCTACAAAAACAGCTACAATGTAGTCCAGTGATGTCCAAACTTGGTCCTGGAGGGCCGGTGTCCTGCATAGTTTAACTCCAACTTGCCTTAACACACCTGCCTGGAAGTTTAGTATGCCTAGAAAGAGCTTAATTAGCTGGTTCAGGTGTGTTTAATTGGGGTTGGAACTAATATATGTAGGACAAGGGCCCTCCAGGTCTGAGTTTGGGCACCCCTTCGGTAGTCAGACACCAAAATGGGCCTATTCTGGAGGCTATAATAAATAATCTGATAGGTATTTTGAGCTGGAACTTTACAGACACATACTGGAGACACCAAAGGCTTATCTTACATCTTGTAAAAGGAGTAAAATTGGTGCCCTTTAAATTGAACAGTCCCTTGAGATAAACCATAAATCAAAACAGAGTACAACACATCAAGACAAACAGACAACAAAGCAAAAAAGCAGCACACTTCACCTGAACCACCTCCTGCAGTCTATAGCTTGCAGTTTTTTTCCAATTGTTTACACACATTTTCTGTAAGCAGATCTCATATTGTCAGAACTCTACACACAAATCACAAAACACTCACACATTGGGCAAAACTCTTCAATTCTTCTGCAAAATGAAACTCTACGTTCAAAACAGTGTGATTTCTTCTCAAAATGGTATTTTGTTTTCAATTGACACACACAAGCCATCACATCAATTGACAATTATAAGAACAGTTGAACATTGGTGTGCTTAATGTAAAACACAATGACCATTCATCATAATGACTTACTGTCAGCCTTTTTTGTTCAGTGTTACACTTATACAGACAGACAGTACATAGGCCTACAGATGTGCACTGTGAAATATTCCAGAATATTGTTTTATACAAAACACACAATAACAAATACATTTTACTGTATTTTCCCCACAAAAAAAACTGTGTACACAGGGTTCGTCCCAACCAACACAAAGTTGCAGATAACGTGGTCTACATGTACCATCAACAGAAGTATTTACAGAACACAGTTAAAGAAAATAAAAAAAACGACTGCTATACTGCATCCTCTTTTCTGTTTTGGTTTGGCCAAGCAGTGGGGGAAATGTCACCTCGCATGGTGAATCCAGCCATGAAAAGCATCAACTGCTATAGCTTGGAGAAGGGGTATACGCGTGTGTGGATTTCGGTCATACACTTTACATCTCCAGGCAGAAAAACAATTCCTCAATAGGTTTGAGGAATGGAGAATATGGAGGGAAATACACCACTAAAAATTGTGGGTGGGCAGTGAACCAGTTATGATCCAGATGAACTTTGATTTCTAAATTGAAATTCTGTGAGACAAGTGTTTACTCATGTGATAAGTTAGTATGCAAAGTAAGGCAACTGACTTTACAATTGTGAATGACAGTGTGTTCCTTGTGAAAACAAAAGATTTTCAGCATAAAAATTGTGTAAAATGCAGAGAATTGTGTGTAGTGTTCTGAAAAAAGTGTGTTGTAAACCTGCAATTTGAGTGTAAACCAAGAATTGTGCTTGTAGTTTAGCAGAATTGGTGCATCAGTTACATGTTGTATAAATTGTGTCTGTAGTACAAGAAATTGTGTGTAAACAACTAAGAAAAACTGTAAGCAAACAAAAACATATACCCAAAAAGTACAAACAATTTCATATACAAATAATCAATAACATTTAAATTGAAACCAAAAATGGTAACATTTTCAAGAAAATAAACTAGTCTTGAAAATACTAAATGTCTTAATTAATCTAAAGGAAGAAGGGAAATTATCCCAGTCAAAAAGAACCTTATTTTTATATAATAATTAGATGGTTTGTATTTGTTTATCAGAGCTAAAAAAACGAAGTTTGGACTGCTTGAATGACATCTGTGTTAACTGCTTTGCAAAAGGATGGAGAAATGAGCCAATTCAATGAGAAAGGGTTTACACATTTGCAAGAAGTGTCTTCTGCTCTGCTTAGTTTCTTTATCCAGGTCAAAGCATTCGAAAAAAACTGTAATCAACCTGCTCTAACGGAAAAGCACAGAATTTGTAAAAAGTCTGTCATGCTTGATCACACAATTTTACTTGTGACTCGTTGGAAACGCCAAACCCAGGGTAGAGCGGCTGAGTGAATGTGGTGTGGACTCTGTGAATGAGGCTCATTGTGTCAGAGACTCTGTAAAAGGACAGAGTTCCTGCACTGTGATCCACATACACTCCTATTCTAGATGAGCTGGACACTACTGGCAGTTTAGACTCTTCATTATTGTGCCTGAATGAACATTTGGTGTCAGAGCAGTACAAACTCCAGGACTGATCATTACATCCAAACTTGCACTCATTTCCCTGTCCTTTCCTTCTGATGCTCTTATAAGATACTGATACGTACATTCCTTTGCCACTCCGTTCCACCTCCCAGTAACAGCGTCCACGCGCACTCTCTTTACACAGCAGCTGAGCAAAACCATCAAATCTGTCTGGATGATTAGAAGTTTTCTTCATTCTAGTCACCACTCTGTTCCCCTCAGACAGCTTCAGGGATTTATAGGCTGTGTTTGAGTCCAGTGTCAGCTGCTGGTAATCTGGAAACCATTAAAACAGCAGATTAGCCATTTTTTTAATCAGTGAAATGTGATGGCTTCAATGTAATCGAACATCTCACTTGACACAAAGATTTTTTTTTTTGTCTTTTGATTGATCATAACATCAAAAATATTACTTGGTTAGAACAGGGGTTTTCAAACTGGGGTCCGCGGCCCCCTGGGGGGCCGCCAGATGGCGCTAGGGGGGCCGCAAAGAAATTTTAGATCAATGAGCCCACATGGATGAATTTTGTGTCTCGCATCATTCTGAAGGTTAATATATTTTTATTATAATTTGAGCTCAAAAGTACTGCTAAAATGAAGCTTTATGCTTATGTCATTTAAATGCAGTTGACACTTTCGTGACACAGGAAAAGAAGTGCAGCGGCCCGCCTCCGTGGACGGGGACTTTTATTGAATAAGCGCTTCTGGCCAGGCGCTTCCTGACTGTGATTTTTGGCGCTTGTCTGCTGCACCTGACGGCGTTTACCTTTCACTTACGCTTACCTCTTTTACGCTAAACAACTAAATGAATGCTCAGGTTTGACTGACTATATTTCAGTTAAAATACATGATCAATAAGAACATTATCGGTGGCTGAAAGCACTACCCTGTTTATGGCTTGCGTTCCTAAGTAACCGAGGTGCTGCGGAGTACGCGCCTCTCTGCGCAGGCTTCACTCATAGGGAACAAATAGCATTTTAAAGACACGGCATAACATTGCACCTCGTCCACAGCGCGACAGGCTTTTACACTTTGCATTGTACAAATATCAGACGGTCCTCTTTGTAGCATGGCAAACAAACATATTAAAATTCTAAAGCAAAAAGTGCTGCAATAACAATGAATGGAGCTGTCATCACATCAGCGAGTTCTCAGTTTCACTCCTGTTACACTAATGACAGCTGGATGAGCTCTGCAGTGGACCTCTTACTCACATTGGTTCATAACTGGATGATTAAAAAAACTAAATTGTATACACCCTGAATAAAACCACTATAGCCTTTAAAAATTCTAATGTATCTGTTTGTGTTATGTTATAGGGCTAATAATTATTAAATATTAAAATGTATTAGTGCTCTGTATTTAATGGAGCTCAACATACCTGATCAAATTTTAATACTCTGAATATAAATGCATTTTTGTTCCACTTTTTCCCATATTTGTTTGTGTAACTAATTTAAATGTAATGTTCAGTATTAATAGAACAAACTGGTATGAACATTTTAAAGTCAGCAAAGCTTCTAAAATTATGCAAAGTAAAACTTGTGGCTCTTTGAACTTGAATACCCAATTCTAGATTGCATTTAGGAAATTATTTTTTTATCAGTGTAAGTCAGGATTGTCGACCTGAGTAAATTATGATGTGCACAAAAAAAAGGAATAAAAATAAACAAAACACACAGCCTCCATTGTAGTATTGCTAGTTACAACAGTACAGTTAACTGTTAACAGGCTGATGAATGACAAAACTCTTTAAAACTTTAAAGCTTTAAATCTTTAGATACATTTAGACTCTCAGCTGTAAGGGTAAATACAGAAGAGTCTAGCTGTGCATAGGCTGAAAAAAAGCATAAAAATGGCATAAAAACTGTGTAAAGTGACGACTTGTACACAAAATATGGCTTGATGGAATAATCCAGTGAGAGCAGACCACAATGAGTACTGCGCATCAAGATTTGATCAAAAGATTGAAGCACTAAAACCATGTCAACTCAACTAACATCTTACAAAAATTAATCCAGATAATTAATAATATAAATTTATTGAATAATATATAATAATATAAATGTATTGAATAATACAATAAAAAAAATTAAGTACAGTTGTTAATTTGAGGGGGTGGCGTCATTTTTATTTTTGGGGGGTCCCCAAAAGAATTCGCCCTACACAAAGGGGCCCTCAGCTGAAAAAGTTTGAAAACCCCTGGGTTAGAAAGTCATTTAATTTTTTTTTGTTTTGTTTTGAAGATTATATTGTATTTTCTGCCAAATATTGTTTATATACGCTTAATTCTGAGCAAGTATGTTTCACACATTTATTAAGGATCTTTTTATATCAGTTCTGATATAACAACAGTTTAACATTAATAAAAAAATCTGCACACTGACTGGCGTGATGTGGTGGCGCAGTAGGTAGTGCTATCGCCTCACAGCAAAAAGGTTGCTGGTTCAAGCCTCGGCTTGGTCAGTTGGCATTTCTGTGTGGAGTTTGCATGTTCTCCCCCGCGGTTTCCTCCGGGTGCTCCGGTTTTTGAGGCGACAGCACTACCAACTGTGCCACCACGTCGCCCATTTTATACAACAAATGTTCATAACTGAATAATTTAATACCGCTATTAATCACATTCTTTCTATTTAATAAGCCTTGCAATAACCTGATTCGTGATAATATGGTTGTGAATTTTATTTTGTATGTTTGCGTGAGTGTTTTTTGGGTGTTTATACAAGCATTGAGTTTAGGCATTGGGGCTATATGCCAGTATAGGTGTGTTTGCATGCAGCGAGTTTGTGTATGTGCGCATGTTGTTGTGGGTGTTTTTGCAAGGATCGAGTTTATATGAATGTGCGAGTGTGTATAAGTGTGTGTATGGGCGTGTTTGCATGCTGCGAGTTTATATGTATGTTCGTGTTAATGTGGGTGTTTATGCGACAATCGAGTTTAAATGTATATGTAAGTGTGTAGGTGTGTTTGCATGCAGCAAGTTTATAAGGATGTGTGTGTTTAATGTGGGTGTTTATGCATTGATGAAGTTTACATGTATGTGCGTGTGTATGTGGGTGTATGCATGCGTCAAGATTATATTTATATATGCAAGTTTTATATATCCAATCCAATAGTATAGGTGTATATGCGAGTAATTAATAGGTGTATATATGCACGTGTTTTATGAGTGTGTTGATAAGTGAAGTTTGATTATATTTTACTAATTTTACTAATCTATATATTAATCTATATTTATAATCAATTTATACATTTCAGGCAGATTTATAATCTACCTAAAATGTACCTACCTCTGTCCATGTGTATGCTTGTTTTAGAAAAAAACAAAAAACTAATAACTTGAAAAAAACTCACACTGTAGAAACTTTTTCCTTCTCTCGTATTCAGGGGTGGGAATCACACTGATGTTTCTCACTAAGGAAACCAACAAACATCTTCATGTAAAAATGTAAAAGATTTTATCCACCTGCCATTTTAAACATTAGTTGTGGAAGTATATTGTTCAAAATATTGATTCTTTCGAGGCTAATTTAAATCTTCAATGCTTTACCTATGCGCGATATGTTTTCTTTCTCGTCCTTCAAAGAGTTCTGCAGTTCTTCTTTCACCCGAGAAACAAACATTTTAAATTTATTAAAAGAGGGACGAGAACTGATGCTGGATGAGTCTGTAGATGCAGGAGGAACAGAGAGCGACTGGAAACTCTACACAGACACAAAAGACACAACAACAGGAATATCAGACAATCACAATTTTAAACACAATGTGCTGTTTGTCAGATCTTTGTTACCTGGAGGAAATGGATGTCATTGTCTGTGCATGAAAGCTGCTCCAGCTCAGTGTTTCTCCTCCTCAGATCATCAATCTCCTGCTCCAGTTGCTCCAGTCGTCCTTCAGCTCCACTTACTGAAGCCTTTCCCTGATCTCTGATCAGCTGTGTCACCTTAGAGCGGCTTCTCTCGATGGAGCGTATGTGCTCAGTAAAGATCCTCTCAGTGTCCTCCACTGCTGCCTGTACAGAGCGCTGTTAGGACACAGAGAGAGAGAGAAGCAGCAGAATCAGTCATTCACTCAGCTCTTACTGCTGCCTCACAGAGGTAAATGATTCTTATGACTTTGTGGTCTATATTTATATGTTAGATTAGCGTTCTCAGACTTTGAAACATATATCTAAGCGTCTGAAAAGCTTGGGCTACATCATATACAGAACAAGGAATTTGTTTCACCTTGGGGATTTAATTTTCTACTATTGTGCTGAATAGTTTTCTTAGCCTAACCATCATGGAGATGGTCAAGTCATACTTTATCTGTATAGCACTTTAAAACAACATGAATGTTGCCCAAAATGCTTCACAGACAGGTGAAATGATTGGGGAATTGATTGACAGGCGCCATGTCTCCATAATAACATGTATACACATGTCCACAGAACTGATTTTTTACAAATAAACTGGGATAAAAACATCTGTTCCAACTCTAAAACATAAAAAAAACATTTAATTTTTTTTTATAACAGAGCATGTTTGTAATTAAGAGAGTAAAATCGCTGTGTAATTCTTAACCGCTACAATCACCACAGCCGCATGCGCATGATGTCAGTAAACGTGCATATATATATATATATATATATATATATATATATATATATATATATATATATATATATATATGTGTGTGTGTATTTTCTGCAAACGGCATTTGTGTGTGACTCATCATTTCTGAAAGGCTTGAATAAACTCCACCACAAGTACATCAAAAAAACTTACTTGGTATTTTTGACTAATGAGCTGTATTTTAGCTTCATCCATCACTGACGGCTGTTTATCTGACGTAACGCAGGAGAAGCAAACTCATTTTCATTTAAAGCCACAGACTACAAAAACAGCTACACTGCGTCTCAAAAGCTCAAAATAACAAAGCTTGGGCTACATCATACATTGAACAAGAAATTTCATCTTAAGAATTTAATTTTCGACTATCGTGCTGAATAGTTTTCTTTGCTTAACCATCATGGAGATGGTCAAGTCATACTTTATCTGTATAGCACATTAAAACAATATGAATTTTGGCCAAAGTGCTTGACAGACAGGTCACATACACAAGTGATTGGGGAAAATAGCTGCATTTTATCTTTTATTAAATAATAAACAAAAATAATACAAATATTTAAAAAGATGTCACAAAACATAATCCCTAAAGAATTAAGAGTAATTACAGTAATTAGGCCTAAAAGTGTGAATAACTTTGTAAAAGTGCCCAAAAGAAAGAAAGGATTTAAACTTTAATTTAATCACTTTAGTTTAAAAAAGCTGGCCCTGACAACAGAGTTTATTTGTTTGTCAAATTTTAATTCAGAATCAAAAATAAGCCCCAGAGTTTGGACATACAAGTTTTTTTTTTTTTGACCTTTAACAACCCAAGAGAACACTGTATTTTTCAAACTGCAAATTGGAGCCAAGCAAAATCAGCTCTGGTTTAGGTTCATTTAACTGGAGGAACTATTCATCCATCTATGGTTTAATTTCAGATATACAAATTATTGTCATAAGCTCCATAGACTGACTGGAGGAAGCAGCTCTTCCAGCAGCCAGCAGTTGATCTTCTGCTCAAAACTCACCTTGTGAGACTCTACAGCCGCTCTCAGCTCCTCACATTGTTTTTGTTTCTCCTGTATTCTCTGCTGGAGTTTCTCGTTAAAATGTTTCTGTAAAACAAAGAAATTAGAGTAAACCACTGTGATATATAAACCTGAATTACACAAAAGGTTTATGAACATAACAGTGAAAATTCAAATAGGTTCTCTTTTAATAACTTTAAAAAATAATAACTTTTTACCTCCTCTGTAAATAGAGAAGCTATGAGGTAACTGCCAGAATGTCAATAAAATGCAATGACATCGTTGAAAAAGCTCATCATTAAGACAGAACTGCAAGTACTTCGTAATAAGTTATTTTATACCTGTTTCTCTGCTCTCTCTTCAGCTGGTAACACAGTTTCATGGGTTTTGTGTTCATTCATCAAGCACAGCATGCAAATACAGCGCTGGTCAGTTCTGCAGTACATTTCTAGCAGTCTGTCATGTTGAGGGCAGATCATCTCCTGCAGCCGTCCATTGGCATCAGTCACTTTGTGACGCTTTCTAGAGTGAAATTCCTCGTGTTGTTCAAAGTGAGTCTGACAGTAAGATTCCAGACACACCAGACAAGACTTAACAGCTTTCCCGATACAGACATCACACTCCACATCTCCAGCTTGTAGTTTTCTCTTCCTGATATTTTCCACCACTTCAGTCAGCATGGTGTTTTTCCCTAAAGCAGGTCTTGGAGTGAAGGTCTGTCTGCACTGAGGGCAGCTGTAGACTCCTCTCCACTCATCCTGATCCCAATAGTCTGAAATACAGCTCATACAGTAACTGTGTCCACAGGGAATGGCCACTGGATCCTTCAGTAGATCCAGACATATTGAACAGTTGAACTGATCCTGAGCGAAAGAAACACTGGATTCAGCTGCCATTTTACTCGAGTCAGACATGTTAAAACAGAAAGTAAAGTCGTAAGCCGAGCAGACGGAAAAGGAAGTTTCATAATTACTGAACTGAAGGAGGACTAACAGAGATGAAACTGTAGCCAGAGAAACGCTTCAAATAGTGCTGCATATAAAATTTTTATTCATATAATGCATGTTTATCATTTATCGTTGAACAAAAAAAAAGTTTATTATGAATTTTACATTTGACTACGAGCTTTTGTTTTTCATTGAGAGACCGAGAGATAGAAGTTGAATTAATTTTCAGATTTCACAATTTCAGTGTGAAGGTGATCCCAATAATATTTATCTAACTATTGTGTTACATCTCTTTTAGCTAACATAACCCACAAACATTTAAAGACTAATGAAATATAAACTTACTAAATAGAATATAGTAAGCGCAAGAAAAGGGCGCTGTTGGAAAAAAACAGAAACACATTGGAGAGAATGGGGCAATGTGAGACATCGGTTAATGTAATACCACTCAAATCAAATTGAGATCAAATCAGGCCATTATTTGTCACATACACTTTCGTATAGTGAAATTGAACCCCTCCGCTCATACACAAGCATCACAATTTTCAGGGGAAGACAGGTCACAGGAGGTAGCTCTTAAAAAAAGGAAATAAGATACATTTCAGAAGAGGGAGGCAAAAAAAACTCCCTTACACCTTGCCCTTGAATTAGGGCAATGTGAGACCATGGGAGGGAAAAAAAGCCCAGCAACAGCACATAAACACAAAGACAAGACACAACATTGCCACAGGGGATGGGAACAGGGGGTGTGGATATAGTCTGATGAGGGCGGGCAGATGTAAGATTCCAAAATATCAGACCCTGAGAACTGTTATGGAATTTCATGAGACAAGATGGAATGCTTCAATGCACTTTCTAATCTGAGAAGTGATGAAGAAAACAGCTGTTCAACTGTTCTATTCAAATCACTGTTGACAATGCAAACACAGGCTGGAAAAACAGAGCTACACCACAGCAGGGGGTAATGCGAGAAAGTCACCCTTCTCCTTCCACCTCAAGCCCCCCTTTCTTGACCATTTTGTTACCTTCTGATTAGAGCAAATCATTTACATTTTCACTTAAAATGTCCAAGGTTTTAATATGATGTATCTTGCAGCACTTTATTCATGTTTGGTATCATTTTAAATGTCTCTGTGTGATTGGTAAAGTGGTCTTAATTTTACAGTATTAATTAGATTTTTGACTTTGATAAGATCTTTGCCAGATGCTCTCCCTAAGTACAGTTGCCTCGAACCGGGCCAAAGCATACTTGTGCCCCCTCCCATCTCCCCCGACGGCCCGCACTCACACCACAAATGGGCCTCGGCACGCTTACGTCATCGCTGCTGCGCTGTTCAGTGAGAAGCGCTCTCACTCAGCAGCACAGTGGAGATTTCTCTAGTTATATCGTTTATGTCGTTTGTTATGCAGTGACATGCGGTCAAATATTTCGCCAAACAGTCCTTAGGGATGCGGTGACACGCAGTCAGATATTTCGCCGAACAGATCTGCCACTTTTGGCGCTCAAAAACAATCATAAAGCTCTCGTGCTGCAGGAATGAGGAGGTCTCCTAAAGCCACGCAGCTGTCGTGCTGTGAGGAGTTCTCGTCTTTAATAAACTACAGCAGTTTGCGTTCACTGAACAGTAAGAATGATTAATAAATCTATATGAAACAGCCACGCTTTCAGTTTCGGGCTTTGGCGCGTTTTGCACTCACACACAAGCGTACCGTGCCAAAGCCCAAGTGAATCGCGCTCAGGCACACCTCTTCCAACTGGGCCAGGGCCGGCCAAGTGAACCATGCTTGAGCGCGATTCAGCGCACTCACACTTCTCAAACGATCCGGGAAACAGGCCTGGGCACGGTACGGATGGCATAGTGTGAGTAGGCCCTTTGTCCTCAAATTCACTAGGCAGGGGTCTTTGTGACACTTCTATTGTCTTGAATTTATGGCTGTTTGTTTTGACTTGAGTATATAAGGTAAAGATGTGGTATGGGTCGGGGGGATCTTGTAAAAAGACACCCCATTGCAGCATCTCTGAGACTTATGCTGCAATGTACTTCTCTGGTCAGGTATGCATCTATAATTCTTTGATTTATCTTTGAGTAATGGATGTTGTATTGTTACAGTCTCATCTCTGAATTGGCTTCCTGATGGTTTTATTATGTAATTGGCAGAATACAGTTTTACCTGACAAATAAAATGTTAAGTTTTGATTAAATCTGAAGTTTTGTGAATTCATTGTATCCAGTAGATTACGAGGAGGAGTCTTCGCTACCCTTATAGTACGGCATAAATTAGATTTTGCTTGATAGGGGCATTTGATTATACGTAGCCATTGGGAGCCGATAACATGTAGACCTTTTAATAGCCGAGGCCGTCTGGCAGGAGAAAGGAAAACACAGGGGAGCTGAAAGAGAAGAAAAGTTATTCAGCTTTATAGGTCAATATTTGCCAATTTCACAGATATTTATTGTCCGTCACTTGTCTCCAGATCTGGCCAAATGTTCTTGCAGAGCCGCTAGTTTCACCCCTGAGCATTTGCGACCCTACCCATATGCGTTTCAATCAAGTCAACCAGCCTGGTGGGGTTTTGAGCAGCACTGACCGCTTTCATCAATCGTCAATACCCCATGCGGGCCCTGCATAAGCCCATCAGCAGAAACCCTGTTATCAAAGTTCGGAATAGAAAAATATCTTCAATAACCTCCAGAGACAGAGCAGCCAATCACAGGACACTCCACTTCTCCCACCCGTCCATCACATATCCAGCTGCAAACATCCCCGCAGGACAAGTGGGCTCTCCCAAACCCAAGCTTCTTGTCGAGAAGATTGTGTCAATAGCATTCAGAGACCAGTTGATCAAATCCATAATTCCTTATTAGTTTGGATAGCAGGGCACGGAGAGGGCACTCTATAGACAAATTACCGTTTTGTAAACATTCAGGTTTTGAAGCTCTTACTGTTTCTTTTTACCGTTATGCATGAAAGTAATTTTGTTAACAGCATTATTGCTTATGCTCGCGGCGCCTCTTGCGTATCCCCCTCTTTAACGCTCCTCATTACGAGATGCTCAGCCAGTGACGTCGCGTTCTAAACATTTGATCTGCTTTCTTTTAAAGCTCTTACGGTTTATCTCAGTTGTGTCAGTTCTCAAGGTGTAGCTGTTTGTACTTGACCAAGGTGAATTCAATACTGACGGTATGAGTGGAGCCACGCCAATCTTCAGTCCACTTGGCGAAGCTTCACTCGGCAAATCTGTCCTGTAGTTCCTTGTGGTTTGCATATGTAAACTCAACATTGCGCGGAATATTACGTGTTTGTTGCTCGAAATGTGCCGCCAAGCAACATTCCAGTGAACACTGGCACGGACTGGCGCCCCATTAGCTCGTGCACTCCCTGGAGCGAGGCGTCCATGCACCCTAGGCAGGGGGCTATGAGGACCCTCAGGGAAACACTAGGGCCCGGTATAATGGGACCTGCTGCCAGGGTTATGGTGGGTGGGAGCAGCGTGGCCCACTTAGGCTTCTATTCTAAACTATCTTTACTATAAACTAAAATAGACAAAAGGGCCTTTGTGTGAACTGTTTAATGTTCCAAGTTGTTACAAATATACCTTCATTTCTTTTCAGAGTATTAAAACTCTTAATTAAATAAATAAATAAGGTTTTTAAAAAATGTTTTATGTAACTTTATCAGAAGTGCACAGCAAATTGCATGTGGTTTCTCCTGGGAAATCTAGCTGTCAATTGTAATTGTAGTTTAGACATGCGTTTAGCACAGGCTACTGTTTTAATAAAGGAAGCCTGTCAAGTTTTTAAGAAATGGCATTAACAATCTAACCAGTGAGGTGAATGCATTAAAACTAAACTATACATAACTCTTAGAAAGCAACGTTAAATCTACAGTTAAAGTTAACAAGAAAAGCAGGAAGAATACAAACCAGGGGAATATTAACTGTTTACCTTCAGGTGAGGCTGTTCTTACAGCGTTTCACACAAGTTCATAGTGGCGATAGTTTTACTCGTTTTGTGAACTTTGCTAATTATGAAAATAGGTGGGAGCTATGATACAAGTATAGGCCAAGATTAGCTAAAGATAGAGTAAATATTTATAAAGCTGACTAATAATAAAACTATGAAGAAAAAAATGTATGCCCTAAACCGAGTGGCCCTTAAAAACACCAACATATACACACTGTAGTATTGCAGTTCTCATAATTGACCACTAGATGGGGATCTTGGCTGTGGATAGGTATACAGTTTACTAGAGAGATTTTCTGGACTTCTCTATACTAAACAATACATTTAAAATCCACTGGATAAATACTTGAAAAATACCTTGTTAAATATTCAACCTCTATTTGGAAAATGACTCCCCTTCATATTTGATCTAGTTTGGGGGGGCTTACATTTTTTTCTTACTTTATGTGAAATTATGATACTAACAAAATACCTGTAAAACTTTTGTCATTTCACATTATTTGATTCACAAACACAATTTTTCACCACATAGTTAAAATGGTATTATTTGGCATATAAAAGAAACAAAGGGATATTTACAGAATTTCAAGACAAGAACAACTGATTCTGACATTTCGTTTTTTTTAATAACATTAAAAACTTCTGGTTTTCTGTGATTTAATTATGACAGTGACGCCTCCCTTTTAAAACTCTCCGGTCTGTCTTTTATCAGTGGAGAAGCAGATATTGTTGAAAATGTAGTGGTACATCTCACTTGTGTTTAAAGGACTTCACATAACAACACATATTATTCACAGAAATCCCGCAGTGAGTGATTTTTTTTATTTACATTAAGGAAACATCATGAATTATTAGTTCAGTAACTGTGATTATAGGTCTTTAAACATCTCCAGCTCTTACATACAGTCCATTATTACATGATTCTGAACAGAATTCTAATAATACCTGATTAATTCATTCATTCATTTAACTTTATTTATAAAGCACTTTACAACCAGCGAGCAGCAGACTAAAGTGCTGAACAGTAAAATGAAAATTATAACAGAATAAAAATAATAGAAAACCACACATAGCATATAGTATACATTTAAAACAATGACAACAGCACACATAAGCCATACATATACACTAACAAATATCAGATCAGGTTTTGAAATGTGATTTCAAGAGTTCGCCCTTAGCTGATGATTTATTATGGAGCGTGTTTGGTATGCTGTCCAGGGAGAGAGCCCTGAACTTGGAGATCCTCGAGCTCAAGGTTTTCAAGGTTAAAAATTGTTTGAAGAAAGATCAAGGTCCCATAAAAGGAAATAAAGAAAACTGGTCGGCGTCAATGGTGTAGTGGTTAGTGCGTTGACATATTCGCTCCTGCTCACGGAGACCTGAGTTCAATTTATGCCTTGACGTCCTATGCTGATTCTTCCCCTCTCTCTGCTCCCCACACTTTTCTGTCAATACTCTATTGAACTTATTCTAAAATGCGGAAGTGCGCCTGTTTTCGCGATTGTCTTAAAACTTTCGATTCAGTTGCCTATGGGACAAATAACTAGGAATAATAAACGGCAGAAAACGGTCAAACTACTTGCTCTACAAACAAATGTTTGCATGACTATACAGACCGAGTAGCATAATATAATAAGCAAATATCAGTTTGCAACATCAAACAGCGAAACAAGCAGTTTTTAATGTCTAAAAATGAATGGAAGTGAATAAGACCAGAAGTCTCGAGCCAAAAAGATTAAAATGGCTGCACCCGCTAGTCGGTGAAGAATAAGGTGAATACTGTTTTGTCCATAAAAGGTGAAAAAGCCCAAATTAATAATTAAAAAGAAAATAAGGAAAACTGCTAATTTACAAAAAATTGTATAGTTTATAACCGAAAATCATTCATTGATTTTCTTTTCAGCTTAGTCCCTTTATTAATCTGGGCCGCCACAGCGGAATGAACCGCCAATTTATCCAGCATGTTTTACGCAGCAGATGCCCTTCCAGCTGCAACCCATCTCTGGGAAACATCCATACACACTCATTTACACACATACACTATGCACAATTTAGCTTACCCAATTCACCTGTACCACGTCTTTGGACTTGTGGGAGAAACTGGAGCACTTGGAGGAAACAGGGAGGAACAAGGGAAGAAAAATGCAAACTCCACACAGAAACGCCAACGGATCCAGCCGCGGATCGAACCAGCGACCTTCTTGTGTTGAGGCGAACTTGCTACCCACTGCACCACTGTGCAGCCCTATAACAGAAATGTAATTATCAAATGTAAAAATAACAATGTAGAGCAGAAGTGCCCAACATTCCAACGTTGATTTACATATTATGATATATTTTGCAGCATTAATTTTAAGTGTCAAGTTTCTTTCACGTAACAAACAAATCTACTTTGATTTCATGGTAGATATCAGTGCTTATATCCAAACTATAAACTGTTATCCAGGCATTTCTGTAATAATAGTTTTATTTGTGACTTAATACAGTCTACTGTACACTGAAGACCTGTTTCATAACTATTTACAGGAAGTCAAATGCAGATCTGAATGGTTGTTGTGATCATAATTGTCAAAGATTTACTAGACATGCTGTAATCTATAAAGAAAACTGTAAGTTTAAGAGATTGCAACATTTTAACTTTAAGGAAAAGCACAGAATTTGAAGAAGAAAAAAAAAAGCTTAATCGCACAATTTTAATTGTGAATCATGGCAAACCCCAAACCCAGGGTAGAGCGGCTGAGTGAATGTGGTGTAGACTCTGTGAATGAGCCTCATTCTGCCAGAGACGCTGTAGAAGGACAGAGTGCCTGTACTGTGATCCACATACACTCCTATTCTAGATGAGCTGGACACTCCTGGGAGTTTAGTGTGTATATTATTGTGCCAGAATGAGCAACTGAAGTCAGAGAAGTACAAACCCCAGGACTGATCATTATGTCCAAATCTACAGTCATATCCAGGTCCCTTCCTGCTGATGCTCTTATAAGCCACTGATGCACACATTCCTCTGCCGCTCCACTCAACCTCCCAGTAACAGCATCCAGACACACTCTCGTTACACAACACCTGAGTTAAATCTTCAAAAATGTCAGGAAAACTAAAAAGAGCATTCTTCGCCCTAGTCACCACTCTGTTCCCCTCAGACAGCTTGAGAGATTCATGAGCTGTGTTTGAAGCCAGGGTGAACCGTTTATAATCTGGAAACCATTAAACCAGCAGATTAGACTTGATTTTTCTGTTTTCATCAATAAAATGTAATTTCTGCAGTGAATAAATGCAATCAAGTATCACACAATGCACAAATTTAATAAAAACTCCTGTCTTTTGATGTATCATAACTTCAGCTGTGTTAATGTGTTAAGAGTTCAGCAATTTATGGATATATATTAATGGGTAAATGTAACAAAATCTGATTAATTAGTAAACACAGTGAGTACCATTTTCTATTTATGTGTGTGTGCGTGGCCTGTCCATAAAATATATAAACAAACTTACATTGTAGGAAGTCATTCCGGCTCTTATTTTGAGGGCTTGGCATCACATTGATGTGTCTCACTAAAGAAACCACAGTCATCAGAAAATATTTAATTTCCATCCACATGTATTTTAATGCAGCTTGTTGTGGGGTTATATTGTGTTCTATGCAAAAGCTGTTACCTATGTGAAATATGTTTTTTTGCTCTTGTTTAACAGTCTGCTGCAGTTTCTCTTTCACCTGAGAGACAAACGTTACCAAATCATCAAATGAGAGACGAGATCTGATGCTGGTGTCTGTAGATTCAGGGGGAACAGAGAAAGACTGGAAATTCTACACAGACACAAAAAAACACAACAACAGGACTATCAGAAAAGTGGACATCTAACTCTTATTAAACAATATGTGCTGATTGTCAGATTTCTGTTACCTGGAGGAAATGGATGTGATTATCTGTGTTTGAAATCTGCTCCAGCTCAGTGTTTCTCCTCTTCAGATCATCAATCTCCTGCTCTAGCTTCTTCAGTCGTCTTTCAGCTCCACTCACTGCAGCTTTTTCCTGATCTCTGATCACTTGTGTCACCTCTGAGCGTGTTCTCTCAATGGAGCAGATGAGCTCAGTAAAGATCCTCTCAGTGTCCTCCACTGTTGCCTGTACAGAGCGCTGTTAGGACACACAGAGAGAGAAGCAGCAGAATCAGTCATTCACTCAGCTCTTACTGCTGCCTGTTCCCCACAGGGGCTTCAGTGGGACTCAAAGTGCTCCAGCACTGGGCTCCTCACTCACTGACTGCAGGACAGTCCTAACTGAGTCTCAAACAGCTCTTCCAGCAGCCAGCAGCTGATCTTCTGCTTAAAACTCACCTTGTGAGACTCTAGAGCCGCTCTTAGCTCCTCACGCTCCTTCTGGTTCTCCATGATTCTCTTCTTAAGTGTCTCTTCAAAATATTTCTGTAGAATAAAGAAATTACATTAAGTAAAATACAGCAATATGTGAATTTGAATTACAGTATTATATGCGTTACAGCAAAAATACATTGAGTAAAATACAACAAGTGTCTGATTGTCTGTTTATATATATGACCCTGGACCACATAAGCAGTCTTATGCACACGGTGTATTTCGATAAAGATATCTATGGTGACAGTCTCTGCTCGAGGCCATCATCATCGGGCTACATGAAACCACCACATCCAGAAAAACATAGCATAGGCAGATGCATTTGTGAACCATGTTTCCATCTTGGAGAAAATGCTCTAATAGCTCTTTTGTGGCAAACTCCTGGAAGAGTTTCTGGAAGAAATCCAGCGAATTCCCAGGGACAGGAGAAGAAGCCCAACTTGTTTTCCACTGAATGCACCATTACTGGAAACCTGCTTGCAATTGAACTTGAGTGAGTTAAAGTTTCTCTAGCTAAGGGGTGTCAAACTCAGTTCCTGGAGGGCTGAGCTAGGCATGGGACGATAACCGTTTTCAAGGTATACCGTGGTTTGCAAAAGTCAAGGTTTTAAAACCGCCATAATTTTCTTTAATATCAGTTCCTAAGGTATGTGTAAGATTTTTTTATTTACGCTTTTTTATTTCATTTTTTATCACAACAGTATCTCCAGCAGAAAAGATCTCCAAGGATGCCGTTTTAATTTGCTAAGAAATCAGTGTTTTTGAAACTAAAGAAGAAAGCAGAAGTCAATGATTCATTTAAATTATTTAGCCTGACATGTTTACTGCTCTAAAACACTTTAAATGTTTCTTAAAATAAAACAACTTGTGTTAAAAATGTGATAAAGTTTTTTTTTTTACCCAGACATTTAAAAATGACATATTATAGAGCGGTAATTACAATACTAGGAAACCGTAATATTTATATCCAATGTTCATATCCAGGGTAAGACTCGTCAGAATCTTATACCGGCCCATGCAAAGCCTCAGCTCTACATCGTTTAGTTCCAACCTTAATTAATCCCACCTGATTAAACTAATTAAGTCCTTCGGTCTTGTTTAAAACCTACAGGTTATGCCGCAGTCACACTAGAGTTTAAGTTTGTGAAATTCTGTCGTACGATGCTGTGTAAAGGAATGGGATTAAACAAGATGATCGTTTAAAAAAGCAAGCAATTGGTCCATATTTAATATTTCTGTCCAGAAAAGTTTTGATCCTCGATTAATCTCACGCAGTCAAGTGATCAGAGTCAGAGTTCAGATCAGGTCAGAGTTCACCAAGCTTGAACTTTGCAATGCAGTGAACAGCAAAACTTGACGCGTGACCTTGCGTTTCCGGTCTTATGCATTCACGTGCGTATGAATGGAAGTCTATGGGGAGAAAAGTCCAGGGTGACTGCAGCTTAAGTGTGCTGAAGCAGGGTTGGAATTAAACTGTGCAGGGCTACAGTCCTCCAGAAATGGAGTTTGACACCGCTGCTCCAGCTCTTCGAGGACATGATGGCCCTAAACCAGGGGTGCCCAAACTCAGTCATGAAGGGCGGTGTCCTGCATATTTTAGTTCTAACCCCAATTAAGCACAGCTGAACCAGCTAATTAAGGTCTTTCTAGGTATCCTAAAACCTCCAGCCAAGTGTGTTGAAGGAAGTTGGAGCTATACTATGCAGGACACCAGCCCACCAGGACACAGTTTGGACATCCCTGCCCTAAAGCATAGGACTCAAACTTGATTCCTGGAGGGCCGCAGCTCTGCACAGTTTTGCTTCAACCTAATCAAACACAGCTGATCCAAATAATCAAGGTGTTCAAGACTAGAGACTATTAAGCAGGTGTGAGTCGGAGGTGGTTGGAGCCAAACTATGTAGAGCTGCAGCCCTCCAGAAATTGAGTTTGAGACCACTGCTCTAAAGTGAAAGTCTGATGTGCCATCTTGCAAGTGCACCTTGTACACTCCTAATTGAAGTGGCTGCACATGCAAACTGCACTCGCCAGTTTCATTGGTCCATTTTCAGACAAATCTGAGTGCTGGTCTTCTCATGAATCTCCTAACTGAATTATCTGACATAACTCGGGTTTATATTATCAAATACTAACAAAAAATACATCAACTGAGCTTATTTACATAGCTTTCATATGAAATAAATTGGACACTGAATGACTCGCTGACTGAATAGTTTGTAGTCCAAGGTCACATATATTGAATGCCTAATTCCAAAATCAATTTCCTTTTTTACAACTATTTATCCATTTATGCAAAGGCACAACAGAGCTGTCGTGTGTTGATTCTCATCTACCTTACAGTCCAGAAAAACTAAACGTAAACATTGCTGTGGCACTGTTTAAAAAAGCATTAAAGCAGCACAAGTAAGCTAAAACGGTGTGCTTTTACTTCATACCTGTTTGTCAGTCCTCTCTGCTGCAGCTGATACAGTGTCGTGGGTTTTGTGTTCATCCATTGTACACAGATAACAAATACAGCGCTTATCAGTACGACAAAAAATACCTAGTAGTTTCTCATGTTGAGGACAGATCATCTCCTGCAGTCGTCCAGTGGCGTCCATCAGATTGTGTCTTTTAATTTTAAAGAAAGTCTCATGTTGTTCAAGATGATTTTGGCAGTAAGAGTTCAGACACATCAGACAGGACTTGGTGGCTTTGTTTTTGTCTCCAGTACAAACATCACACTCCACATCTGCAGATTCAGAGTAACACTGAGCAGGACGAGCAGCTTGTAGTTTTCTCTTCCTGAGTTTCTCCACCACTTCAACCAGCATGGTATTTTTCCCTAATGCAGGTCTTGGAGTGAAGGTCTGTCTGCACTGAGGGCAGCTGTAGACTCCCTTCTGCTCATCCTGATCCCAATAACCTGAAATACAGCACATACAGTAACTGTGTCCACAGGGAATGGCCACTGGATCCTTCAGTAGATCCAGACAGATTGAACAGTTGAACTGATCTTGAGCCAAAGAAACACTGGATTCAGCCATTTTGTGCGTTCTCACAGGTAACGTTAGCCTCAACAACGACTGAAAGGCAAATAATGCGGCCTAAGTTTCACTTTCCTAAACTGCAGAGCTTCCTGGTTCGGCAAAACGGGTGTGTCTGGATTAACATATGTAAATTTTAATTAACTGACTCATAATATAAAGTGACTAGACACAAAAACGGTTTAAGAGATCTTATGTTTGTGCAGTATTTTTAATAAACGTTCAGTTAGTACTGAAAGCGCTTTTAAACCAAATCACGTGACTTTAAAGTAGTTCCATTCTTCTATCACTACATAAAACTGTTTATCCCTGGTAAATGTTTATCTCCGAAGAAGGTATACAGCTCCAACAACAAAATAAGACGAAAAGTTTTGTAACTTGGATCGAACTGCTTATCAAATCAATAGTGTTCAGTGAGTTTGATAACTAATACAATTCGCTGAGTACAGAACAACACGAGGAAAAACAACCTGCTGCAACGCAGGCTCTCTCTCCTAATGATTGATATGTCATTGAACGTTTTGCCGTTAATAAATAAATAAAACCTAATTATAATAGTTTCATTTAGTAGTTACATATTTTTAATTTGTATATTAGACAACAAAATTTTAAATTAATGAGCATATGTAAATTTTAAACAAAATTTCACAATTTTTGTTACATTTAAACAATTTTATTGTAAACTATTTCGTTACTTTATTTATTCCTTTTAAATACACCCATAGACAGCTTTTCCGTTAATATTTTCAGGGTCTTCTTTTGCTTTAAAGCCTTACATGTCAGAATTATCAACGCCAATGTTGAACGCCAATAAACTTTAAACTGCTTTACTCTAGCCGAAATAAAACAAATAATACTTTTTCCAGAAGACAAAATATTATCAGACATACTGTGAAAGTTTCCTTGCTCTGTTAAACATCATTTGGGATATATATATATATATATATATATATATATATATATATATATATATATATATATATATATATATATATATATATATATATATATATACAGACACACCAAGAAAAAGTACAAAAATAGTACTGTTAACAATACTGCATTTCACAGTGCATTACCTATTATTTTACCATTGTTTTATTTATTTATTCATTAGTTTATTTTCATGCACCACGCACATATCAAAAACTTATTTACAAGCTGAATTTTCACAAAATGATTTATAGTTTAATCACAGAAATATATGTCTGAAATATATTTACACAAACTGTTAAAAATCAATCCCACTACAAAGGTCCCAACAAACATTAAATAGAAAAGTATATTAGGACTAATGTGTCTTTACTGCCTTATCCTTTCACTATTTTTACTGTTAGAGAAGAGAACATTTTCATTTCCAGACTTTTCACAATACTTTTTTTGTTAGCCATCTAGATTATTTATTAAATGCAAGCACTAATGTTTTTCATTTTAAATGGTTCTGTATTTGGTGCGTGGGCAGATAAAAGAGTGCTCCAGGACAAGGTCATGTATGTTGGGGTGTATACTTGCACATTGTCCTGACAAACACACAGTTACTGTAATTCAACAAGCAGAAAAAGGCTAACAAAACAGGGTGAAAGTCCCCTCCAGCACTGTGTTAAAACATCTCAGTCAATCAATCGTTGTGTCAGTCAGAAGACATCAGCACTTGTGTGTCGCAGTCATGATTGCAGCTACGTTATGGGGTCTTGTCAGCTCAGTAATGGGCCTATTTTACGTTGGGTTGCAGGTCATGGTTCCGTGTCTTCCTCCAGCTCCTCTCTCCACCTCTGTTATTAATACTGATGAGGTAAGAGGTCTTAAAGTAATTGTATTTATTCTTACACTTCACACCTTTCTCTATATTATATGTTGTACAAAAAAGAAAAGTCTGAGTTACATTTTAAAGTAAAAGTGTCAATACTTTTTGTTTTGCTTGTAAACTATACTGAGGACAGTTAATTTATTATTAAAAGAATAGTTCACCCAAAAATGTATAATCTGCCTTTATTTTATCTCATTCCAAATCAGTTTAAGTTTTTGTTTTTTCATTTTTTTTCCCTTTATTAAAGGTATACATCACCCAAAAATTAACATTCTGCAATTATTTACTCTTCTTTCAATCGGATTTTCTTAATTTTTTTTAACGCAAAAGAAGATATTTTGAAGAATGTTGGAAACCTGTAACCACTGACTTCTATAGTATTTGTTTTTCCTATATGGAAGTCAATGGCTACAGGTTACCGACATTCTTCAAAATATCTTTTTTTCTTTTCTATTTTAAATATAAATGATGTGCGAAAATTGAGAGCCTGAATGAAAAGTCTGAGTTACATTTTAAAGTTAAAAAACTGTGTTAAAAGACTTTTTGTTTTGTTTGCAAACTATACTGAGGATTTTTTTTTTCATTATTAAAAAGATAATTCACCCACAATTTCATATTCTGCCATTATTTACTTTTGTTCTAAACCAGTTTTGTTTGAGTTTTTTTAAAACACAAAAAAAGACATTTTAAAGTAAAAGAATTGTGCACATTTTTTTATTTATTAAAGGTATAATCACCCAAAAATGTATACTCTGCCATTTTTTACTCTTGTTCCAAACCATTTTTTTCCTCGTTTTTTTTGTTGAACACAAAAGAAGATATTTTGAAGAATGTTGGAAACCTGTAACCATTGACTTCCATAATATTTGTTTTCCTATATTGATGTTAATGACTACAGGTTATCAACACTCTTTAATAAATGTTTTATATCAAAATATCAAATAAAGCTCAAATAAAAGTTGAGCAATTAATGGCAAGATTTGGATTATTGGGTGAACTTTTGGGTGACAGTTGGTCAAAATACCAAATAAGTGCTGTGTTTTCACACATGTTTATATTTATTTTTATACAGCACATTATATATTTGCCCAACTGAGCCTGGTTTCTCTCGAGGCTTTTTTACCTTCACTTTCATCAATTGGTGAAGTTTTTTCCTTGCTGCTGTTGCCACTGGCTTGCATGGTTCGGGAGTTGTAGCTGCTCATTAATGGATTTCTCTTCAGTGTTTGGACTCTCAGCAGTGAATATTAAACCACGCTGAACTGAACTGAGCTAAACTGAACTGAACTTAATCTCTGAAAACTGAACTGACGCTGTTTCAATTCAATAAAATCTTCTATGTGAAGCTGCTTTGACACAATCTACATTATAAAAGCGTTATAAAGATTAATTGAATCGAATATTTGGTGAAAAACCCTGATTTTTTTGACAAAACAAATGAAAATATTGTTATTCTGGTCAATCTTTTGTAAAAATGCTTTTAGACCTTAAATACTGGTGAAAATATGCAAATGTAAAATATACATTGTTTTCTGTATATTAGGTGTAATTTCCCTAGTTTGCTAAATAGATATTTAAGCAAACATGAAATATTGAATATCATCTATTGCCAGTGTCTGACGATAGTTCGCACATTCTTGGATTAGATCAAATTCTATGCAATATATGGCTATTATTGAATAAATTCTGTATTTCCAGTATTCCAGTATAAATATTGATATATGTAAATACTTGTGTACAGTATACCGGCACTTGGTATTTTGTGGCAGCAGCTGTGTGGGATGAAGATGATCTGAAGACTCTCCAGACCACAGACAGCATAGTTCTTCAGATCCAGAAAAACAGCGACTCCACCCTGAAGGTCACTGAAACCATGCGCATGTGAGTGGAGAACACTGCACACAGGCACACACAAGAACTCTTCTATTGTTTGCTATGAGAGTGATGCTTTAAGTATTAAATTCATATTGTTTGTGACTTCACAGTGGAGATGCGTGTCTAAAAAATGTTACGAACTACTATGCATTGCCTGCGACAAGCCCTTTCCTGTTCAGAGAAGGTAAGAAACACTGCAATTATTTAGCTAATTTTAAATGTCCCCTAAAGTTAAACAGTTGAGTTCATTTTTAGCTTAGCTTAGCATAGATCTTTGAATTGGATTAGACCAGTAGTATCGCTCAGAAATGTCAACAAAAAAAAGCTTCTGTGGGTACTTCATGAACTAAGACTGAAAGGAAATAAAAAGTTGATATTTCTTATCATTATTATCTCCTATTCTTGCATAATGATCATGGAACTTTACTTTCCCTACTGAAAAAAACTGCTTAAACCAGCCTAGGCTGGTTGGCTGGTTTTAGCTGGTAGACCAGGCTGGTTTTAGAGGGGTTTTGGCCACTTCCAGGCTGGTTTTAGCTGGTCAGGCTGGGAGATGACCAGCTAAAACCAGCTTGACCAGCCTAGCTAAGCTGGGAGTAGCTGGATTTGGCTGGTCATTTTCCAGCCTGACCAGCTAAGACCAGGCTGGAAAGGGTTGGAAACCAGCCTGGAAATGGCCAAAACCTCTCTAAACCCAGGCTGGTCAACCAGCTAAAACCAGCCAACCAGCCTAGGCTGGTTTAAGCTGGATTTTTCAGCAGGGTTCATAGTGCAGGCTGAAGCAGACACAATGATATTATGCAGTGCTTGAAAATAGGCCCCAAGTAAGTAACAGCACTGTGTAATATCATTGGTATTGAAGTAACGTTACTTGATAATTACACCTGAATGAGAATATATACTTTATTAGGTACACCTTACTAGTACCCCCACTTTATATATTGATGTAATAGCATCAGGCAGTTGCTGCAGATTTGTCGACTGCACATCCATGATGTGAATCTCCCGTTTCACCACATCCGAAAAGTGCTCTATTGGATTGAGTTCTGGTGACTGTGGAGACCATTTGAGTACAGTGAACTCAGTGTCATGTTCAAGAAACCAGTCTGAGACGATTTGCGCTTTATGACATGGCGCGTTATCCTGCTGGAAGTAGCCATCAGAAGATGAGTACACTGTGGTCATAAAGGGATAGACATGGTCAGCAACAATACTTAGGTAGGCTGTGATGTTGACACAATGCTCAATTAGTACTAATGGGCCCAAAGTGTGCCAAAAAAAGTTGCTTTTCTATCATCTTGAACCAGTCTGGTCATTCTTCTCTGACCTCTAGAATCAACTAGGCATTTGTGCCCACAGAACTGCCACTCACTGGATATTTTCTGTTGTTTGGACCTTTCTCTGTAAACCCTAGAGATG